GAAGTACAAGCATTGTACACGTTAGAGCAGGTCTCATCACCGCACGTCTGTTGGATGTCTCCCATACTACATGCTGTGGTTCCATCCTGAAATCAGGGGTGGATTTACCCCGGGGCAAATAAGGCGTTTGCCTTGGGCAGCATTTTTCAGGGGGGCGGCAGCACCACCCTCCAGAAGTAGGGACACGCGTGGCAGGTGACAGAGGTTGGGGACCAGGCGCGGGACTGCCTGAGCTCTGCCATAGGATTCAAGAGAGGCTGTGGGCTGCTGGAGGATGTAAGTAGAGGTCAACTCTTGTTCCCACACAAGGACAACAATGGGCTTCCCTGACCATGTTGTCCGGGGATGGCCGGCTTCTTTCATTCCGGGAGGTGAGTGCTGGAGGAACGTCTCACTCTTTTCTCTCTCTCTATTATTTTATATTCAGAGTCCATAATAGGGCCAAAGAGAACTATAAAACCTTGACTTTTGCCTGGAGCTCTGTGATAGCTCTGGACTGACAGAAGTGAAAACTGGTTCTGATGGATATACCATAAGGTATGTTTTACTTCACAAAAGTAGGTCCACTATGAAAAGATAGTGTAGGTGGACTCTGTTCTGGTCCTAGGCTGCTTATCTGATAGCGACTAAGGAAGCGCTCTCCAGACGGTAAATTCTAACATGTTTACAGAGTGCTTGGTACTAAAGTTTACCTGACTTTTTGAAGGACTTTTTGAAACATTTAATGGTGAAGAGCAACAGATACAGCCATCGTGTTTTGGGGGGAAAAAGCCTCACCCTTCTTCGGGGCTTCAGCAGTTGATGTCACAAAGTGACCAAGTTACGGCTTGATGAAGATTAGCATCTTTCAGCGGAACTAAAGGCAGACAAGCCTTTAGTTAAAGTTCTTCAGGTCTAAACTATTAAAAGGAGAAGTATAGCCAAAGCTTTTTTTTGGCTATATTTATCCTATAGATCACAAGAGTGCAGTTCGTTCTGCACTCCTATGACCCGTTCCCAGCCGACAGAGGGCTAAAGTCTGCTGTCGGCTGACATCACTCACCTGGTCCAAGCTGGGGAAAGATTGCAAAAAAGATATGGTCAAGATCCACCCAGGAACCTGGACCGGCACCTGGCTCAGACTCTCAGAAACCCACGGAGAGCCTGAGTCAGCTCCTTCTGCCCCCTCAACACTCCAGCACACTAGTGAGCGCTGGAGGGGCAGAGAGCCGGAGACTGACAGTCATCAGCTCTCTGCAGCCTGGAGACCAAGAACTGAGTGATCATAGGTGCTTGATCGCTCAGTTCTCAGTCTTAGAGCCAGTGGGGGAAGGATCCAGCATCAGACAGATGCTGCATCCACCTAGGCGAGAATAATATTTTTTTTTTTTTTTTATTGAAACTCAAACATTAATTTTAAATGTTTCAAAAATGTAACTTTAACTGAAGCTGGACCTCCAAATGCACCAAAATGCATAACCCAACCAACAACTATATCAGTGAAAAATCAGCTGCAGTTTATTATTGGAGAAACTACTCCACATATTGAACCTACCAGTGCAGTCTCGGCCGTCTCCCCGGTACCCGGATGCGCAGACACAAGAATAATTCAGTCCAGTCGCTGGCTGGCACTGGGCTCTGGTGTCACACTGATGGGTGCCATCAAAGCAGGGGTTAATCTGTGCTGGTTCCTGGGAAGAATCTGGTGGATAAAAAGAAAAATTCTAATCAGCACAAAATATTAGATATTCGGTAAGCAGCTCAACAAATGTAAAAATAATGAAATAAGTAGGGCCAAAGCTCTTTTGGCCCTACTTCTCCTGTGGGTCACAGGCAGTGGTGTATTTAGGTTTCGGGTTGCCCTAGGCAATACAAAAATTGGCTCCCCTCCACGGACAGACCCCGACACTGACCAACACCCCCCTCCCCCACTAAAAGAGCCTGACATTGACCAACACCCCCCCAGCCCCATCACCCCCCCACCTGAGAGAACCTTCCACTACCACTGCCCCCCATACACTGGCAATGCTCCTCACTCTGTGAGAAAGACAGACACTCAACTACACAGCTCCGGACATCCCTGGGAACGAGTCAGGCTCTGCATACACCATCAAGCAGCTGCAGCCTCTCTCAGAACCCACCTGGTGCACGAGTCCTTCTTCCTTCCCTTCCTTTGGGGGCGGTGCTGCCCCCCTGAAAAATGCCGCTGCCCACACACCTGAACGATGCTGCTGAACCCCCTGAAAAATACCACCCTAGGCAAATGCCTTGTTTGCCTTGTGTTAAATACGCCCCTGGTCACAGGAGTGCACTTCGTTCTGCACTCCTGTGATCCCTATTCAGCTGACAGTGGGCTGCTGCTGGCTAATGTGACTCAGCCGGTCCAGGCTCTGGTGAGATCCTGACTTTATTGTAGGGATCTGGATGGACTGGCAGCTGGTTTGGCCTCTGAGTATGCCACCGAGAACCTAAGCCAGCCGCCCCTGCCCCCTCCACAGCCCGATGCTCCAGTGAATGCTGGAGAGGCAGCGCACAGAGCCAGTGACTGACACTCATCGGCTCTCTGCTCACTGTAGACCGAGAACTGAGCAATTAGTGGTCTTTGATCGCTCAGCTCTTGGTCTTAGAAGTGGAGTGGACAGATGCAGCATCGAACTGCATCCAGCTAGGTTGGTATGAAAGTTTTGTTTTTTTTTAAATCCCGCACTTCTTTTAAAGTGGGTTCTCAATCAGAACTACTTTTGTTTTCGTTAAGAAATAGTTGGGATGGGTTGCTCGGTTCTTACTGGTAAAGTGACCACAAAACCAACCAGAAGATTTATTACAACAGAAAATGGTTTTATTTTTTATTAACGCCAAAGGATATTCTGATAACCTTTTACATCACCTGGTTTTTACTCCCTCCCCCTCCCCCCCCCTCCCCCCACCAAACAAGCTAATGGAATATTTTATTAAAATCCCTCTTTTTACAACATTGCATACCTAATTTTACACCCTGTGATGTCATTACTGGGTCTCTGTGCTTCTCCATGTAATAAAAGTAGATCACAGCTGGTAGGAAGGGCTGATCAAAGCTTCCTGAAAACAGCAGACCCCCTAGGTAATGCGTACATATGATGTGGAGTCCCCAGAGTTGAAAGAACTATAGTATTTAAAGTCAAAACCTTTTTTTTTGTTTGTTTTGGATAGAATGTAGAAGGTCTAGACCCTCTGCTACAGATTTATTGTAGTCTGTGTTTCCGCTGCAGAAATGTGCCCCTCTATTTTTCCTAATGATCATTGTCAAAGAGAGAGCGATGGAAAATCCAAGCTTTTAGTGCTATTATGAAAGTAAGATGGGGGAATCTTCCAATGGGGACAAGAGATGGGGGAATCTTCCAATGGGGACAAGAGATGGGGGAATCTTCCAATGGGGACAAGAGATAGGGGAATCTTCCAGTGGAGACAAGAGATAGTGGAATCTTCCAGTGGAGACAAGAGATGGGGGAATCTTCCAATGGGGACAAGAGATGGGGGAATCTTCCAATGGGGACAAGAGATGGGGGAATCTTCCAATGGGGACAAGAGATGGGGGAATCTTCCAATGGGGACAAGAGATGGGGGAATCTTCCAATGGGGACAAGAGATGGGGGAATCTTCCAATGGGGACAAGAGATGGGGGAATCTTCCAATGGGGACAAGAGATGGGGGAATCTTCCAATGGGGACAAGAGATGGGGGAATCTTCCAATGGGGACAAGAGATAGGGGAATCTTCCAATGGGGACAAGAGATAGGGGAATCTTCCAATGGGGACACGAGATAGGAGAATCTTCCAATGGGGACACGAGATAGGAGAATCTTCCAATGGGGACACGAGATAGGAGAATCTTCCAATGGGGACAAGAGATAGGAGAATCTTCCAATGGGGACAAGAGATAGGAGAATCTTCCAATGGGGACAAGAGATAGGAGAATCTTCCAATGGGGACAAGAAATAGGAGAATCTTCCAATGGGGACAAGAGATAGGAGAATCTTCCAATGGGGACAAGAGATAGGAGAATCTTCCAATGGGGACAAGAGATAGGAGAATCTTCCAATGGGGACAAGAGATAGGAGAATCTTCCAATGGGGACAAGAGATAGGAGAATCTTCCAATGGGGACAAGAGATAGGAGAATCTTCCAATGGGGACAAGAGATAGGAGAATCTTCCAATGGGGACAAGAGATAGGAGAATCTTCCAATGGGGACAAGAGATAGGAGAATCTTCCAATGGGGACAAGAGATAGGAGAATCTTCCAATGGAGACAAAAGATAGTGGAATCTTCCAATGGGGACAAGAGATAGGGGAATCTTCCTGCTGTGTTTCCAGGGATAAGAAGTTCCAGGACGGGAAAAGAAGGAAGATCTCCCCAGCAGGATACAAAGAAAAAGGTAACCCAAAGGTGGTTTAACCCTTCTGTAATCTGAAGTCTGCCTTTCCAGCCACTTTAAAAAGTTACCTTAAAGTCTGATTAAAGAATATGTAAACCCAGCATTTCATGTTCCTTATATGTACTTGCTGTATCATGTATTTGTATGAAAAAGTCTCCATTCTCTTTGTTTTGCTTCCTTTGTGTGAAATCCTTGGTGTTCATGCCAGTCCCTCTGCTTTCCTAAAACTTACCCCACTAGGCATGAATGAGAACACAGAGTGGTCAGTTCTCTAGCTGTACTGAGAGCTAATCTAATGAAAAGACTTCTACTCACACCCCGCCCCCACATTCACTTGAGCTGCTGTTCCTCCACCCTCACCTCTCTATGCAGCTGAAGACAGAAGGAATGTGATTACTTATAAAAAAGGAAGAAAAAAATGTGTTTATGTTTATTATATCTATACACAAAAGGTTTGCCTTTCATTTCTATTTTAGGCTGAAGGGGTTGTTTTACAGGGATAGGGTTTACATATTCTTGAAAATAAAAAAATCAATTCAAATTTGTATTCCTAACTTAAAATGTTACTAAACTCTGGACCCTGCATTCACTATATCCGGTCTGCCCCAGACCCGGCATTCACTATATCCGGTCTGCCCCAGACCCGGCATTCACTATATCCGGTCTGCCCCAGACCCGGCATTCACTATATCCGGTCTGCCCCAGACCCGGCATTCACTATATCCGGTCTGCCCCAGACCCGGCATTCACTATATCCGGTCTGCCCCAGACCCGGCATTCACTATATCTGGTCTGCCCCGGACCCTGCATTCACTATATCCGGTCTCCCCGGACCCTGCATTCACTATATCCGGTCTGCCCCGGACCCTGCACTCACTATATCCGGTCTGCCCCGGACCCTGCACTCACTATATCCGGTCTCCCTGGACCCTGCATTCACTATATCTGGTCTCCCCGGACCCCGCATTAACTATATCTGGTCTCCCTGGACCCCGCATTCACTGTATCTGGTCTCCCACAGTACACAGAATATGGAAATACAATTATTTTAGTAAATATAAACTGCTAAAAACCTTCAGCAGTATAGCAGTTGTCTGACTTCTATCAGTGTCTGGCAGAGCACTGGGTAAAGCTTGTAGGAGGAGTTTTCATTCTCCTGATTCCTATGAGGCTGCATAACCCCTGACCCTCTGTCTGGACAAAGCTGATTGGCACTGTGGTGATCACATGCACTCTTCCAAAGGAAAAAAAAAAAAAAAACTCTCTAGCCATACACACTAAACTGTGCATGTGCAGAGTGCCTCCTAGAGCTCTGTACTATCAGCAGATGAATTGGGAACAGTAAAAGACGGGGAGGATCAGAGAGGACAGGATCAAACAGCCTTTTTACACAATGCAGAAGATTAACCCCTTAGGTTCCACAGTGAGTATAACAAGCATGCTTAATTGTATTATTGTGTAATTGTTTAGTAACACTTTTAAAAAAAATCCCTTCTATTGGTCTCCACCACTTCCAAATTTCCTTTTTTTTGGGGGGGGGGGGGGGGGTATGGGATGACATAATCGGAGTTCTTGTTAGAGGGTGGCTACCTTCGTTCTCATGGTTCCAATGTATGTAGGAAGGTAGCCACCTCTCGAGATGGACTATGGGATATGTAGTGTGCATAGAGCAGTGTCCATGACCACAACTAAATGTGCACTGCTTGTTCCAAACAAATGGAAGTGAGGGGGTTGGGAGGTTTGGGAGCTCACAGAGGACATTACAAGGAGACAGAAATATCTTTGATCGCAGGGCCATTAAGTAGTGGATGTGTTCGGATTATATGTGGAGAAGAAGGAGGTTGTTTTGTGTCACTTTAAGAGGACCAGAAGACGAGAAGTTCTGTTAATATTTATCTACAGCTGTGGCTGGGATCGGCGGAGTGGAAACTTGTAAGCAGATCATTTATGTGAGAGCGACTTAACAAAATGAGATTTTATGGCTGAGAGGCGCTCTGTGTCTTGTTTGTTTGTTTGTTTTATTTACTTTAAGTAAATTTCAGACTGTGAACTGAAGTGGGGGGAGGGGGAGGAGATGGTGGCACCAAGAGAATGGGTGAGCTGTTCTTTGTTACAATCATTCCAATTAAAGCTGAAGTTTAATTTCCTTTATTTTGCCTTCTCTGGCTCTTCCCTCCCTCCTCATCAAAATACTACTGACATTTTTAACCCCTTGGTGCCGGCGCCTCCTGGCCCTTTAAGGGTTTCAGAAGCCGGGCGGGGTTTTAGCAATCACTGCGGTCACATGATCGGGAAAGGTCCTGATCGCAAGAGGAGATCGGGACCTTTCCGTGAGTAGCAGACGTGTGTTGGGGAGCGCGCACTCTCAGCACATATGTATTTTTTATTGCACGCAAATGTGCGGCCGCTCGCTCGGCGTCAAGGCTAAGACGCCTCCTCCTGAAGGCCGGCCCACCGCCGTGACAGCGAATTACGGTGGTCACATGATCGGGAAAGGTCCCAATCGCAAGAGGAGATCGGGACCTTTCCGTGAGTACCGGGCATGTGTGTTGGGAGCGCGCACTCTCAGCACATATGTATTTTTTAATTGCACACAAATGTGCGGCCGCCGCTCGGCGTCGAGGCCCAGATGCCTCCTCCTGAAGGCCGGCCCACCGCCGTGACAGCGAATCATGGTGATCACATGATCGGGAAAGGTCCCGATCGCAAGAGGAGATCGGGATCATTCCGTGAGTATGGGGCATGTGTGTTGGGAGCGCGCACTCTTCTCAGCACATGTTTTTTTTAATTGCACGCAAGTCTGCGTCCGCTCGGCGTCAAGGCCCAGACGCCGAGAGGCCGCACATTTGTGTGCGCTCAGCGTGAAGAGATTAAATAAACCCTTTTTGTTTTCATTACATTACCCTCTTTTAGACGCAGCCTCTGTGCTACTCTATGCAATGCAAGCAAATCATGGTTGGTGGAGGATTGGTTCCAGTAACTGCCCCTTGCCGCACCCATCACCTTCCTTGTGAACCATGCGTTTTCCCCTGCTGCTCATGCCCCCCCTCCTTTCCTTCCTACCAGCAGCTGCAAGCACACAATAGGATCCTTCAGGATGGAAAGTAGGGGAGGGGTCCAGCAAATATGTCACATTTTCTTTTCCTGAAAGAACACAATGAGTGATTGGTACCATTCATTCACTGTGTTCATTCATAACTCAAGCACAGTAAACTGTTTTTTTTGGGGTTTGTTTGTTTTTTTTTTTAAGAGGAGGGGCCCTACTGGCCTGGGCCCCGTACAGGAGGACTGGTGGTACCCCCTTATCCACAGCCCTGGCTGCACGGTATCTGCATCCAATCAGATGTACGCACTGTTCAGGTATTTTGACAGATGGCGCCCGCCGCCAGCCAGCGGACTGAACTAAAGGCACGTACGGCCAGTTTTACACGGATTACATGTAATTCATCAGAAAACACATTTATTGATATATTGGCAAATACAGAACTGCAATACTTTGTCTTTTATATCTGCCTGAGGTTCAGCTTTAAAACTGATCAACAGCACAACTTTACAAAGTGGTCTCATTGCATCTATTCATGGGGCCCACTGGCCCCTGGCCTTGACCAGCCCTGATCTTAATGAAGAGTTTCTGGCCATTCTCCTCCAAGGCTTTCATTTACTCCGGCGTTTCTCACTGAAGACATTTCATTGCCTGCAGCCCCCTGACCAAAGGGTCTGTTTGATTTTCACAAGCATGTAATTTGCCCGGACACTTCCTACACGCTTTGTTCCTCTGACATTGTAAAAGGCTCGGCTATCAGCTCCTCTTTGTGTTGGCCTAATGAATGGAGGCACCCCTCTTCCAAGAGACTTTATGGAGAAGATTAGGTTGCTTGACTTCCTGACCCAAATTACTCATGCCCTTACAGAGCAGAAAAGGGCCTTTGTTACATGAAAGGAGGCAGAACAGGAGACCCTCCTCCACCCGCTGCCAGCACACGAACACTAATAAAGCCGGGGAACAGCCTGCTGGGACTGAAGGAATCTAAAGAGGAAAAAAAAATCCCTGAACGATGGCACCGAGGCAAAGGACATCAAACGTCTGCGTAAACCAATTACTGGATTGTATCAAAACCTGTGGGGTGTTAAAGAGGTTTTCTACTTCAGGGTAAAAAGAAGGAAAACTCTTCACATGATCCCCTGTAGCTGCATGGGTGACCTAAACATAAACGAGCATGCAACCTATCTCTGCAGTAGACATCGGTGACATCACCGACAATGCAACCTATCCCTGCAGTAGACACCGGTGACATCACCGAGAATGCAACCTACCCTTCACTAGACACTGGTGACATCACCGACAATGCAACCTATCCCTTCACTAGACACCGGTGACATCACTGAGAATGCAACCTATCCCTTCACTAGACAATGGTAACATCACCGAGAATGCAACCTATCCCTTCACTAGACACCGGTGACATCACCGACAATGCAACCTATCCCTTCACTAGACAATGGTGACATCACTGAGAATTCAACCTATCCCTTCACTAGACAATGGTGACATCACCAAGAAAGCAACCTATCCCTTCACTAGACAATGGTGACATCACCAAGAAAGCAACCTATCCCTTCACTAGACAATGGTGACATCACCGAGAAAGCAACCTATCCCTTCACTAGACAATGGTGACATCACCGAGAAAGCAACCTATCCCTTCACTAGACAATGGTGACATCACTGAGAAAGCAACCTATCACTTCATTAGACACCGGTGACATCACCGAGAATGCCACCTATCCCTTCACTAGACACCGGTGACATCACCGAGAATGCAACCTATCCTTTCACTAGACAATGATGACATCACCAAAAATGCAACATATCCATTCACTAGACACTGGTGACATCACCGAGAATGCAGCCTATCCATTCACTAGAGACCAGTGACATCACTGAGAATGCAGCCTATCCATTCACTAGACACTGGTGACATCACCGAGAATGCAGCCTATCCATTCACTAGACACTGGTGACATCACTGAGAATGCAGCCTATCCATTCACTAGACACTGATGATATCACTGAGAATGCAGCCTATCAATTTACTAGACTGATGACATCACTGAGAATGCAGCCTATCCATTCAGTAGACACCGGTGACATCACCAGACTACAGCAGCCTTAAAATAAATGTATCATTCTCACTTACCATGTACAGATCCAATATGGCTGGTAATAGCGAACCGAAGAACTTTTTCCTCTTTATTATACATAGCAAACACTCGATCGACTGCCAGCTTCTGCGCAGTGGGCGGGTACTTCTGTGAGTGGCCACACTCCTGGTAAGTAATGTTCTGCTTTAGCCGGTAAGAGAATCTCTGAACGTCACCACTCTGCGAGGTCACTGTGTACTCCCTGTATGCCGTGGAGGTCACAACTGAAGACAGAACAAGAAAAGATAGTTTTGACTATATATTATTAATGATGATATTCTTTTAGCGTCTTTTTATCTAAACCAGCCACGTAATTAACTGCTTTTGGGGGAAAAAAACCCACAAGCGGCATTCCTAGGACTTTCCTACAAATATGAAACATTTTAAAATCAGTTAGTGGCTGGCCAATACTTTTCAGCCAGCTATT